TCTTTTTAATTCGGCGTTGCTTGCGGTTCGCGCCCTGACGGCAACTCCTCCAGCCTTGCCCTTGTTTTTTTTTTTGCTCCCCGTTTACGCGCAGTTTGCTCAGCCATTTTATTTTTTTTCCTTCCCCGAGTATGTAGCAAATATTTAAAAGAAAAGAAAGAGAAAGAAAGAAAGAAAGAAAAAAATTCAGACGTCCTTTTGCTCGTTTTGATGCTCGCGAACCGTAATTTTTAAAGCAAGAAATAGAAAGGAAAAAAAAAAAAACCAACTCGAAGTTTTCTCCCCAAGGACCGAGACCATTCCACAAACTGAAGTGCTGCCAGCAGCATATGCTTTTTGCAAGAATAATTGAAACCATTAACTGGAGAGCACAGAATTCTTTTGAAAGTCTGCCAGTTATTTGCAAGTAACTTCGGCAGTGGCACAAAATATAACACTTATATTTTAACTTCGACAATTGCACTTTTAGGAGCTGGCCTCTAATTTGATTTTCAGTTGTTCTGATAAGATTTCTATTTTATGATTGGCTTTATGTTTAATTCTTGTTTAAACAAACACGATTTGACTTAAATGAAAACCTAAGTGCTGATGAATAGGAGTTTTACCAAAGCAACAAGTTAGTTATTTCTTCACGTTTAACTTGAATTCACTTTTTTACCCTTTTTTTAAAAAAAAAAAAGAAGACAAAAAAAGATCAGCCGTAAACGTCGCCCTGAAGAAGGGTGCGATCGCTTGCATTTTAATTTTTGGGTTTTAATATGGCTGTAAACGTTTCCCTGGTTCGTGATACAAAATGGCTGACGTTAGAAGTGTGTCGAGAGTTTCAGAGAGGTACTTGTTCTCGGTCTGACGCAGAGTGCAAGTTCGCCCATCCGTCACGGAGTTGCCACGTGGAAAATGGTCGAGTTATTGCCTGCTTTGACTCCCTAAAGGTGAGGACTCTAACGTGTGCATTACCTAAGCTCGCTTGCTTTTCCTTCTCTTCTCGGCATGCTGGGGCGTGGGACGTGCAGAGCAACCGTCTATTGCCCTGCGTCTGCGAGGAGCGCGCTGCCGGGGCGGGTGGAGCTCCCAAAATCCAGGCTGAGTCTGGCATCAGGTGCAATTGCCCGGAGTGCCAGGCATCGCAGGGAGAGGGAGGAATTTATCCAGAGCGCTTTCCGATAGAGCTGCCCTTGAAATGGGGAATGCACGTTCTGGGCAGCACATGAAACCGAAATGAGAAAAGTAGAGAACTGAAACCCAGTGCTGTAATTTGTGTCCAGAGCACATCGGCTGCGCGTTCGGCGCAGGGATCTGAAATGTGCTTTTAATGAGCAGAAATGAAAGCAGCATTTTAAGATAATGAATCAGCTTTCTGTGTATTTCCTGGAGACAGAGCTGCAGATGCACTCTAATGCTGTCCTGTAGATGAGGAACAGCCAAAATATTTGGAGACCAGTGCTCCCAGAAAAATGGGTGTTGGGAAAACGCTTTCTGTAAGGGATGTGCAAACACGATGGCTCTGCTAGGCCTGTCCAAGTTACAGCTGCGCCTTTTTGCCAGTGCTCATCTTTGCAGAGTCAGTTTTGTGGGCAGTAAGTGGCTCTTGGTTGCTTGGCACTGTTGGAGCTCCAGGGGTGACTTTCAAAATTTACCAAATGTGCGGGATCCGAGTCAGCGTAGGGGGGCGGGGGGCTCACAGGCCGAGGAGGTGGGCATCTCTTCAGGGTTGCTTCGCTGTGTTTCTGAGGAAAAGGACATTTGTGGGTCTGTCTGGTTTTTTGTGGGTATTTTTTTTAATTCTTCCCGTAAGTGTGGCCCTTCAAAGATCTTTTAAATAGGATGGTAAAAACCCTGAGACAATACGGGTACCCGATTGCTTTTGAGAGCTCTTGACATTGTGTTTAATGTTTTGATCAGAGTGATTAACTTGTTTGAGTTTCTAGAAGGAATCTGGTAAATTTTACAAGCTTAAAACTGTTGCTTGAAAAGATGTGGGTTTATTTTTGTAAACATAATGACTAACAGGACTGGTGGAGTTACATATGCACAGGTTCAGACCAGGGCTGGTTCCCGTAAGTGTGGCCCTTCAAAGATCTTTTAAATAGGATGGTAAAAACCCTGAGACAATACGGGTACCCGATTGCTTTTGAGAGCTCTTGACATTGTGTTTAATGTTTTGATCAGAGTGATTAACTTGTTTGAGTTTCTAGAAGGAATCTGGTAAATTTTACAAGCTTAAAACTGTTGCTTGAAAAGATGTGGGTTTATTTTTGTAAACATAAAAACAGGACAGGACTGGTGGAGTTACATACGCACAGGTTCAGGGCAGGGCTGGATCTGGTCTGACAGGGGTTTACCCATTTTGTTACTGTTTGTGGCTTCTTCATATCTTCACTTCTCTTCCCTTTTACCAAGAAGCTCAAGCTTCCCATTTGCATTTGGTATTGCTCTTTTTGATCTGATTATATCCAATGACTGTTAGTTATACAGTGACTTTCAGGTGCTCATTTGTACTGCGGGTTTGCTGACACTGAGAGACAAAAATATTTTTATCAGAGTGAAAAAAACATCGTGATCTTTATGCCCTTGAAACTTCTGAATTGTAGCCGGTGGCTGTGCAGATACTTCGAATGAAGAGATTGATGTGTTTCCATTTGATAGCATTTATTTGTGAACTGAAAGGAGTGCTGTCACGCTATGGACCATGCCTCTCGCAGAAGTTGCCTGGCGTTTGCAGCGCCCTGAGGAGGTGTCTCCTGTGCTCTCCTCTGAGCTGTGCTCCAGTGTCACCGGTGGGTGATGCTTCCCCGTGTGTGCCGTTTGCGTGGCAGTGTGTGCTCTGTGCCAGCCCCTCTCTGGGCAGGACCAAGTCTGTGGGCAGCCGGGGTTTAAATCCCGCTCGCTGGTGTGAGCAAACACTTCTCCCACTTCAGCACTGGGGAATGGGATGGGGAACACCATGTTGAAAGAGAAAAACAAAAAAAGAAGAGTAGGGTGTGCTGTTCTACAGCTCAGCACGTTTGCCATGTAACTGGCTGTTAAATAATGTTCTTGTTGCAGTTCCTTCTTGCCGCAGTAGCAGATGCCCAATATGAGCTAGTGAAGTGGCCTGAATTTTCCAGGGAACAGATTTTCCAGGCTTAGGAAAGCTCCATGGAAGACCTGGGGCTCTGCCTTTGGGATGTCACGTAGATGTGGCGCTTCAGGACATGGTTTAGTGAGCATGGCGGTGTTGGGTTGATGGTTGGACTTGATGATCTTAGAGGTCTTTTCCAACCCTAGTGCCTCCAAGTACACTGGGAGGAGAGGTCAGACACTGCAGAGCACGTGGCCAAGAGCAGATGGTGGGGCTCTTTCTGCACCCCACTTGTCAAACAACCCTTCCTCCAGCCCCATGGCTGCGGTTGCTCTCGCTGAGCAGAGCCCTGGTTCTGCTGTGCCGTGGGGAAGCGCAGTCCCCAGTGCCGCAGCCCGTGCGTGTTTCCATGTGTTTCCCAGTGGAGGTACCTGCCCTGGTGACTGCGCTCCCAAACAAAGGTCTTGCTGCTCTTGGGCTGGAGTTAGGCTTGCAAAGCTCTGTTTGCAGTGGTATCAAGGGGCTCGTGTGTGTTACGGTGGCCTCCCTTACTGGTGACTGGAGAGATGTTGCGTTCTTAGACCTGTTAAGAAGGGGCTTTTCTTGCCCGTGCTGTGGACCATCTATGTGCTCTGTTTCCCTCCGACAGCTGCAGAACACTGACCCTCTCCCCTGCGGAGGGCTGGGTAGCTGCTTAGTGCTCTTTTCATCTTCTCACCCCCGCGTTAGCAGAACATCTGTGTTGCTTTATTGGAGACAGGATATAGGATACTTGCAGCTAATAAGTTTTCCCTGTTGTCTTGCAGTCGCCCAGGGCTTTGTTCCGAGGCTGCTTATCTGCATCCATTGTGTAGCGCTGTTCCTTGTTGGCTTTTTTTCTCACAGGCCTCTTAAGCCTAAACAATGCTTTCATACAGGAATTTCTGATAACCCAGCGTACAATGGTTTCACCTTGCTAGTCAGGTCATGCTCGGCATCATACGCTTACTGCATCTCGCTTTTTGTTTCCGTGTTTTTTTCTTGAGCTCATGTAGTGGTTCTGCCTCTGTTGCAGTGGTAAGAGCAGTATTGCTTCCAGAAGCAGTCAGGCTGCCCCACCAGGGGTTGTTTTGTGGGTGAATGTGTGCTACGTGTAAGCTTGTGAAGAACACACGAGACTCCTGGAGGTAACGGGGGGCTTCACTGATGCTCAGGTGGGGTTCACCAGGGTGTGCCCTGTAGAAGCGTTGTGTGGCCGTGCTTTGGGCGTGAAATATTGAGTCTTGGCTGGATCTTGCTGTCCTGAGCTGTGGTTCTTCAAAGGGGGAGTTTGCACATTTGTAGGCAGCAGAAGGAACCTTTCTGAAGCAGATTGATATGAAACTTAAAAATAGTTCCTTGTGAGAAGCTGTTCACAGATTCAAGTAGGATGCCAAGAGAGCTCTCACTCTCTACTTGCGCTTCCTCCCCTCGTTATTTGGAAGAGCAGTGTTGTCTGAATTAATTTGTGTGGATGGAAGGGCGCTGCTTCATGGAGGGCAGTCCAGAGGTGTGAGAGCTGGCCACCCCCGGGCCACCCCCCTTCCAGAAGTGACCACCAGGGCTGCTGGGTGGCAGCCAATGGTCTGCAGTACCTCCTGGGCAGGTCCCATGGCACCTCTGAGACGTTTTGAGCAAAGGCATCATTGCTGGAAACCCAGGTGGCCTTTGGGTTCATTCATTGGCTTCTCTCCCAGGGTTGGTGTGCTCTGTCCCGTGCGTAGCCGGGGCTTTTGCCAAGGGTTAGGACGTGGCTTGCTGGCTCGGGGCGACTGGTGCAGAGGCTTGTCCTGGCACTGCTGTGGGCTGGCTGCAGGCACTCACCAAGCCATCAGCCTTCCTCTTGTGGGTGGATCAGGCACATGTGGCGTGAGCCTGGCTGCTGCTCAATGCCCTGCCAGCAAATCCTTAGCGAGTTGTGTTCTTTGGTTTCTGAAGATGTCAGGAAGGGAAAAAAAAGCACCTTCTTTGGTCACAAGAAACGCTAATTGCGCAGTGAGCTGAGAAAAGGGCGTTAGGAGATAGTGGCATATTATATAAAAATACGCAGGTAATGTGCACCAGGTGTTCATGGACGTTTTGATTTATGCTCTCACAGTTTGGGTATCTGCGCTGTGGATTCGTGGTTAAAAAAAATACAAGCCCAGCTTTGTGGGGTATATTGTTGTAGTTTAAAAGACATTGTTAAGCTATTGCATGTTTCAAAGCAGTATATATTAAAGAAAAGGTGAGTTGTCTATGAACAGGCATAAAATCAGGAGTTGAAAATAATGTTTTGTCTAAACTGTCTGTTTCCAGAAGCAGTGTTATTATCTGGTAACAGTATTCAGAGTCCCACGGCAATGTAAAAAGTTCACTCTGCTTGGGCAATAAACCTCCCTTATGATCTTAAAGCTGATGTACCTGAGGCTGTTGCTTGAAGTTTTCGTGCTAATTTGTACCTGTTTTATGCTGACTTTGCTGGAATTATTTCGGAGTGTTACTGGTTTGCAATCAAATATTTTCTTCTTTTTGTGAATTTAAATAAACTCCAAACAGGGAAACAACCAGAAACACCCACTAAACTTAGCATATGGTTACGCTCTTACAGAGGAAGAAGAAAGCAAACAAAGCCATAGAGATATTTTTGGAGACACTCTGACTGCATGTCTCAGCTCAGTGTAATAGAGATGCAAATAAAGCAGATGAACCATGTTGAGCCAAGTCACCTTTGTGAGAAACCTTTACTTTTCATTGGTCATTAAGGCACTTACCTGCATAGCAACAGCATTTGGAGAGGAGAAGTAGATTTGCAGCCGCTTTCTGTCTTGTCTGGGTGCTCCTGTGTCTCATGGCACATCGTAAGTGCTTTTT